CGGCTTGCCACTGGGTGGATGCGGCCTCTTCACCGATCATGTCCTCAAAGACAGGCGTACTGGTCCAGAGATAGAGTTCCGACAGCAGCGGGCGGAGCTCCCCAGCACTGATAGTACCTCGGCACAGTTCTCCAAACAGCCACTCACCCCACCGAGCTTGTGCGGCTTCTACAGGTGCTGCTGCTGCTGCTGCTACTACTACCACCACTACTACTACTACTACTACTACTACTACTTCTACGACTACTACGACTACGACTACGACTACGACTACGACTGCGACTACGACTACGACTACGACTACGACTACGACTACGACTACGACTACGACTACGACTACGACTACTGCTACTGCTACCACCACGGTACTTGTATGTGCTGCTATGGCTGCGGCTACTGCTGCTACGGCTACGGCCGCGGATACGGCTACTGCGACTAGTGCTGCTGCTACCATCTTCAAGACCGCGACAACTACCGACACCAGTACCACCACTTCAGCTACCCACCGCCAGAGCCACCGCTGCTAGCACGGCGACAACCTTTGCTACTTGTAGTTCGATTGCTACCTGGTACATGGCAGTGGGGCAATGCCGAACATTCCCATGCCCGGAGCTGATGTTGTTTCTGGGGATAACAGACCATGCTCGCGGAGATGGTCGACAAATGTGGAGACGATGCAGAGGCGAGTATGACCATGATAGCTTTCTTAAGGTTACTAGTGTTGGCCGGAGATGATTCTCCAGGGGGCTGAGCATATACGACCATGATGGTCACATTGATGAGACCACTGTCAGTCAAGACTGATAAGAAGGGTAGGCCGATGACTATTGTTGACATGCTGATGAAGATTGTATCGTGATAGTGATGACACATAGCACGATGACGACAACGATACCGGTGTATGTAAGGACAGGATGAACGGTGATTGTGACCGGAAACAAGCATTTGACAGGCTGAAGCAGATGCTGCTGTTGCTGTTTCTGCTGTTGCTGTTGCTGTTGCTGTTGACATTGCCCTCGTCGTCGCCCTTCGCCGCGCTCGTCCTTGTCTTCGTTGTCTCTGCTTCAAGTTTTGTTATTGCTTCTTTTGATGGTGGTGCCGAGGATGCGCAGGATTGTGCCAAGCACATAACCCTAGGATGGGGTTCTTGTTTGTGCATCGGAGAAAACAGACTGCGAGAGATGGTCAGGCAGGTCAGGATTTTGTGTTGAAGACTGACCACACATCGTCACACAGCAGTCCTGAATCGTGTCTCTAAGGGTGTGCGCACTTCATCCTGTCTGGGACCATGGACCACTTCCGTCGACATCTGAGCGAGTAAACAGAGCAATTACCTGGGCGTGCTCGCTCTTGCTGGATTTCTTCCTTCGCCTCTGACAGAAACATCAACCTCATGCAACATCGAAATTCAATCCAGCCCGCAAAAAGCCGGAATTTATAAACTGAGGGAGTGCTAATTCTATGGGCTTGGAGCATGCTTCCCACTGTTCGACCTGATCGATAATGGCGCTGATTCTAACACGATTGCTCGTCTTATGTTGCCTGCCCGCGACATCTGAACACTACTTGGGGCTTACAACAGAGTCTACCGGCAAGATTGCTACAAAGATCCTAAACCCTAAATCCTAAACCCTAAACCCCTAAACCCTAAACCCTTAAACCCCGAGCGGCCTCGTCGACCAGCTCACCAGAGAAAGTCTCAGCCAATGGCCCGCGAAGGGCTTCGGCAGCAGCGGCAGTCATGGCTTTAATTCGGGTTTAGGGTTTAGGTTTTATCGTAATCGTACTAGTAATACTAGTAGTAAGCTTGCTGGACTCTATTTGATTTCGATGTCTCAGCCCGAAGAAATCTTACAGCATCCGAAAGGCTCCAAGCCAAGCCGAAGCGGCAGTTTGCCTCAGAAGTCATCGCGGAGAGGCTGGCGCTCTTCGCTGGCGTCTGAAAGGGATGGACTTTAGTACACTTTAGCACTCACTCTGGACGCGTGGCTTCAATGCTCTTACGTTTTTTGTGATTGCGACCTTGTCCCCCAAAGCCTCAACTCCACACCCTAACCCTTTTGCTGCAAAACCTGTATCGGGACACATTCATTCCGGACTCCACTCCGCAGGCAAGACGTGCCCAATAAAGTTAGAGCTTAAAGGGGTTTGGGGTTCAGAGCTTCGAGGCTGAAGTCATGATTGCATTCCTGCTACCGACTTTTGGGGAAGAGCAGGGGGTCATCCTGAACGTGAACCAATCTTTACTCCGGAGGCCCTCATGCCTAACCCCAACGCCTTCAATCATCAACTCGCAACGGCCAGGGTTTGTGGCTTAAGGTGTGACATCCTGTTCCTCTTTCTTCCCGGCTCGCCTGACAGCTCGCTGGTCACCCGATCCTATGTATCGGTTCCTCATTCAACCCTAAACCCGAAACCNNAAAAAAAAAAAAAAAACAAAACCGCGAATGCTGGAAACCCAACCCTCAACCTTCACCAAGGGCCCGGCTGGAAAACTGCTTAGATGTACGACCGATTCGACGATTCCTAGAGATGACATGCATGAAGACTATGACGATCAGATGACAACGCCTCAAGAGGGATGAGCCCATCCGAACGGCTCATGTCCTGGACTTAAACCCTAAACCCGTAACCCTGTTTGGCTTCAGGAATTCTCGACGGCCTGGCGGAGGTTCGTGTGCAGCATCGGGCTGCGGGACTAATGAGGGGTTAAAGTTTAGATAAGTTTAGGGTTTAGGGAGTCGGGGTTCAGTGGGGTTTAGGGTTTAGG